CACTACTTCAAGTTTATGCATAAATTAACACCCAGGCTAGTTGTCTGTCCGATTGTTGTAACACTGTTCAACCAAAAACAATGCCCCGACAGCGTTTTAAAGATAAACACATAGTCAACCATTTGTGAAAATTTCAAAACAAAAGGTCAAAGCGTCAAGGAGCTATTTTTTTTTTAAAGTTCTGGAATGTGCACTAAAAAGAAGCTGAGATAATTGCTAATTTGCATAACAATTCACTCAGTAAGAAGTTTGCTAATGCTCATAATTAAAATGGCTGTAACAGTTCCAAATTTAAATGTATTATCGTTTTGTTAAAAGTTAAATATAGTGCATTTCTTTTTTTCACCATGTTTCTTTTTTATTATTTATTGTACAGCCTTGCTAAATCTTGCTAAGTATTCAAAAGAGACAATGTTTGCACTTGTTATCTATATTTTAAAATCGTTTTTTGAGTATGTTCCACTATTCACAATTCTATAAAATAGCCAAGACTGTTTGGATAATAAAAAGCAAAAAAAAAAATATTTCACTCCCAAGTGCCCACAAACCTGCATCTCTACCTTAATCCAATAAATATTTGGTAATGTTTACTTACATAAATTGCATTGACAATAACCAAAACAGGCATCTGTAGAAGGCACACCTGTACTGCAATAGAGCAACCAACTTCTATGCTGTATGGAGAGAAATCAGACTAATTTAATACTGTAAAATACTTTATTTTAACTGGAATTTATTTTCGCTGAACAGACATTTTGGGTGTTTTGTATGGAATTTATTTTCACTGATTTTTGATGAGTTGAATGTAAAATATAGGAAAAAGGTATAGGTATTCACTGGATTTTATTTTCACTGAATCATTCCTGAAGCGAAAACAGCGAAAATCAATTCCAAGCAAAAATAAAGTATTCCACAGTAAAACAGTTGTTTCTAATTGCATACATTTTGATTCTGTCGGATACTCTGGCATAGACATCTCTATAGACCCATAGTAATCCAATCATTCAGTTAACATCATGCCATAGTATAGAGAATAAATTAAATGTTACTACATGTCTAGTATTAATGCATGCAATAAAACTAGAAGCCGTATCTCTAATAGAGGCCTAACTCAATCTTTTTGAAAAGTTGAGAACCAACAATTTCTCATGTGTAGATGTTCTAATAGAAGTCGCACCCCTTTAGTTGCATTGTACCATTTTAATAGAAGCAATGGTTTCTAATACAGATGGTGTCGAGTGCTCATTGGTTATGTTACAAATACTTACCTTAGAGTCATGTTATTCTGTAAAGCAAACTGTATTCCGTTGACAATCTCTGGGATATCTGGCACCAATGCTAATAATGTCACACCAATAAAATACTGCAAATAATATATGACAATAACAAAATAATCAACAAAGGTATTTTGTAAAATGAAATGTGTTTGCAGCACAAAATTGTGTGCTTTGTGAAATCATGGAGGTAAAAGTAGATATTTATCACCATGGTGAAAGAAACTATAAAGTTTATAAACACTAACTACATGTATGATGCAGTGATGATAGACTTACCAGTGATACGCCAGACTTTTCCAGCAGTGGTTGTATATTCTCTGTTACAAGCTCAGCACATAGCGACATTAGAACAGTCGAAATAAGTAAGATGAAAAAACTTTTTGTCCTCGACCAGTGAGCTATCCCGTGACCATGTCCATGTCCATGTCTCCCACCTGAACGGAATCACATAAAAGCTACTATAATTCGATACAGTAATGTTGTTTACGCATGCAACACAGTCGACATGTTGTGTGGTGTTTGATATAGATCACATGTTACATATAGAATGCAGGTATCGGTATTCATAATAAGTAATCGAACATTTTCAAGCGATCACATGTCAAATTTAAAAACTGCAAACTGAGAAAGTTTTGGATCATTTGGTGAAATATAGAAGCATTCAGAGTCTGTAATATTTTTAGGCCCGGGTCTAACAATGTTACAAATTTTTTTAACCCCCCCTCCCAAATGCTGACTGGCTAGTCACCACCATAGAGGGCAGGCTTTACTTCCAGTCATGGTAGTTAATTTTCAAATGAACCTGGGTAGGGGTATTATTTGGCAAAAAAAAAGTCTATAGTTATATCCACAATACCACAATAAACTACAACAAATATACATAATGTACTATGTGATTGTGAGCAGGTTATAACAGAAGCTGTTACTGTCCGAAATACGGCAGTCCAATGTTACTGAGATCTATACGATGTTGAACATTTTCATTCATATGTAATCCTCAATGTGAAGAAAGCAATTACCACCATACTTCATTGCTGCATGAGTTGAGCTGCACCAACATCCTTTAGAATTGCAAATTCAATTTTTACCGATGTTGAAGAATGATCTTCATCCTTTCTCCATAATTGATAGTCATAATAGATGCTGTAATTTTATCATTTAGAAAAGTGAAACAATTTATTACAGAGAGTCAGTCAGATTTGGGAAGTTCCTAAGGGAATGGGAAGTCAAAATTGCCTACAAATAGTAAGGTATGGGTACTTGAGTATATAAACTCAAAATAATCATTTGAGGTTTGTATAAACTTACTCTGTGAAGTGCCTTCATCTTTTTTCACTTCAATCTTGTGAATATGCGTGTGAGTTTTTAATGTAAATATTAAGCCAACAATGTAGGCCAGCGGTAATAGAGCTGTGCATGTATAAATCAAAGGCTGGATGTGTTCAGTAAATAGCTCATTGCTTTGATCAAACTGAAAAAGAATATCATAGAAAAAAAAAATGAAAATATCAAATAGTTAACATTCTTAGTGATAATGTTTTCTGAAGATAATTTTTAGGCTGAAAATATTTGCAATTCAATGAAATTTATGACCGGTGGCCATTTCTCACCTAAAAAGATATTTACATATATTTAAACAATACATTATCAAAGGTTTTCCGGGCTTGTCAAGGAAAATTTTATTCATACTCATAACTTACAATCACACATGATGGGTTATTGATGTGTGTCTAGGATTTGATTTGAAATGGCTGACTGGCAACCATAGATGTACACTTTTTTTTCCCTCTTTGTCTTCTCAAATGTCAATTCAGCCAAATACAATAAGGGGACTGGGACATTGCCAATGAATTGTGGACCAGAATTTTGTTGAATAACATCAGTTGGCAAGAATGGTAACATTTCAAAAATGAATTATTTGCAGTTAATCTGTCTACATGAACCATATTTATCTAATAATACTGTACACTCACTCTTTGACTGGTACATCGGGAGCAGATAAACTCTGTATCATTATCAAATATAGTATGGTTTGCCATTTCTGTACAGCCCTGGAAAACAAAATAGTTATAGATTTTTTGAAAACACGGTTATATATTTTCCCTCTTCGATGATGATGAATGAACATAGAATACAATAATGGTATATATATAGATTACTAGTTTTTCACTACACATATGCCAGAATGAAATGCATCGTCATAATGTAAAGATTAAATAAGTACATGATTATAGTTCATATGTTGCACATTATCATGCATTTATCACATTATATCATGTTTAAATCAGATTGATAGCAAGAATTTATCTCTTTCACATCGCCAATTCATCCATCTTGCATCACACATTCTAATCACTGCAGCAATGATCTAAACAAAACGTCACCAGTTAACTTCCATGATTGCCCATGCCTGCAAGATCATTTCTTTATAGAAAGGGTCTAATAAACAATTTATCATTGCTGAGCAAGTTTATTAGATTACCAGTATGGTGTGGTAAATAGCATGAAGAAAATATGTGATGCAGGGTGATTACAATATACATGCAATGCAGATGTTATTGTAGAACAACATCAAAGCGTGTAAAAGGATGGGCTGTAGATGTACTTCAATTTAATTTATTGAAATGTTGATTTTGAAACCTATTTATTTTGTAAATAAAATTGATCACACTTACACTGCAGATGAGAACGCCATATGCTTTGGAGAATATGGTTGGAGCAAAGGCACCGGCAATACAGACAAATAACAATGACGCGGTCACACCAGCTGACCTCCAATTAAAAGCTTGTTCATGGTGTTTTATTCCACCAAGAATCATACACAGACCCTATTAAGAAAACAAACAAGTAAACACAAAAACAAACCCTTTTCTATGCAGAATCATTTCTAATCTAAATCAGTATGCAAATAAGATGTGAATGTTTCTGACCAATCAGAGACTTACTGGAATGAAAAGTAAGGTTGCTAATATTGTGCCAGTCAGAGCTGATTTGACGAGTTCTGAATAGCAGTGGTTATCGTTCGTGTGGCCGTGGATTAATGCTGATACATAGAGTGTTATTTCAACAATGGATCCAAACGTTGCATTCAATATTGCTCCAACTGCAAAGTTACTTTGGGCTGCAATACTGCAATATCAAAGAATTAAAGAATATTTAATACATTTGGAATCAGTTCTCAAACCAGTTGCAAGAATGCAAGAATGTGAACTTACACACATGTTTTAACAAGCTGGCTATGCAAATAAATTTGCAAATAAAGTATTTATTACGATACAAAATACAGTTCAATGTTTGTCGTAGAATGCTGTCACTGTATTATATTAGGATCTGAGTATAAATTCGGTATATAGATGCACAGTATTTGCTCTATTAGAAAACCATCTTCGATATTAGTGAATATAAACCAAAAATTACATTCCTTGTATATAGAATCATCTAAATATTACTTATTTTTACCATAGAAACACATCTGTAATTTATGTTAGGAAAAATTAATTGATACCAATTTAATAATACGGTACACTTAGGCAAGATAGAGAGAGATGTTTTTGATCTAGAATAACACAAACCTGGTAACAGCCATCCCAATGTAGTATGCTAACGGAATAATAGCAAGTAGGGATAAGACAAATTTCTACAGAAAAAAGAAATGAAAATCTTTTGAATATGCAACACAGATATGTACATTACAGATAACTGTGATAATTAATGGTTGATAAAAAATAAGACAAGATTCCAAGATAAACAGTGCCCTCATATGGCAATGTAGCACACACTACAGAATACCAGTATTTAGACTCTTGCATGTCGCGACTTATGATTACAACAATAATGAATGACCTTCAGTGTCAATTTTAAAGAGTAGTTAATTCCAAGCAAGTTAATGTCTGAGTTGCAGGTATCTTTGTGCCAGGCAACTGTTCCAAAAATGAAACGTCACTGTTGTCTCACCTAACTTTTTTTACGTGAATTTGCGAGTGCGAGTGCTGACATATAGCGCCAAAGAGACCAAATATATGGACTACATCAGCATGACAGGGCTGTGTGACCATCTTCCAATCATAATGACAATTTAATGTGCTATCCTGGCATCAACCAAGCCTAGTCAAATGCAAGGTTCCCCCAAAGTTACATTCATTAGTGAATGAAACTCGACCAGTGGAATTAGCCTTCCCATTGAGTCTGTGGCACACTCAGCCAGGGTTAGGGTCAACCCTTTTTTATGTTCAACTCCAGGTAGGATATGAACTGAGTCTATTGATCATGAGTAATATATTGGTGACCGGTTCTCATTACTGTTATGATGAACAATGTACTATCAGCATGTATTAGGTATTTATTCAATATATCGCTATTTTTCCTTATTTTACACTCAAAATCTGAATAGTAAATTATCAATAAATTAGGCAAGCAGTCTCTGTGATAAGATTACACACTGTAGGAATGTATGCCCCCCCCCCATATTAAAAATCTTACAACCTCACTAATAGCTATGAGGAGTTTGTATACCTCTTTAATATCCTGCGTTCTTGACTTTACATAGGTAATTGTTACAATGTAAAATATATCATCTCCTTGTCAATACTTACTGTAGTTTCACTTGACACTTGATCTTCATGATCAATATAACCTAATAATAAAGCTAATATCACAAATGATAGAAGATCTGGAAAGATATTAGTTAAAACAAATAACAAACAAATTGATGTGCATAT